TTCCCCTCCGCTTGTCGGGCAAGGTGGCGAACCAAGGACATAGGTAAGGGGTATCAGTGGGGTTTTTCGCAAAAAAGTAGTGACCCTGCCACCCATCAGTTTTATTGGGCGGCATTAATATTTTGAAACCCGGGCGAGCCGAGATAGAGATGTGGAAGTGACTGGAATTTTTTAAGACCATCACACTCCGAAATCGAGCTGGAGTAGGGGTCACGCCCGACCAGGCGCAAAGCATGCGGAACCCGGTCATGACGACTATGGCATGGGGATGAAACTGATTGAGGGATACATTGCACAATTGCGCAATCTCGGAAAACCAAGACGAGATAGGAAAAGAAAGACCGAAATAAAACTGTTCCGAGAACCAGGTGCTAAAACCTGGGGGTGGACTTAAGGGACGCTGATCTCGAGAAGGTAATATTAGTTCGACGTCAGTAGGAAGGCCTATATCGCGAACTAAATTGTCTAAGTCCACCTCGCTTAAGGTACTGGGTCCCCACTGGTCGTCTAAATCGCGCCCCTCAGACAATGAAGGAGAGCCACTCCTCGCGGAGGACAGAACGTCGTCTCTCCCCTTTCTCTTAGATTTTTTCAGTAATTTACCCGAAGGGGAAAAGAAGGGCCCTTCCTCCGAAGAAGAAGAGAGAGTGAGGGTAGGATATTCATCTCCCTCTCTGGAAAGCATTCTCTGACCGAAAGGGTCGGGGGAATTGGAAGACATAGGCTAAGAACAGTAAAAAGCAGGGTAAAAATGGAGTACCTTTGTCGAAGAAGAAAACGAGCACGGGATGGAAAGAACTTGGTTCTCGGAAAAGCAAAATCGCCGGAAGTAAACAAAGACGGGGAGAGCACAGAAGTGAAGAAGAGGAAAAAATTTTGAAAATTCGTAGAAGTCAGATACTTATAGGAGAAAGAAAGGAGGAGAATTCGATTGTGACCGTCTATTCGAACGGGCGAGATTCAAAGTAGATCGCCTCGAATCCGGCGCAATAGGTGTCGATTGAAATCCCTCAGTAATGACCTAGGGAAGAGGGAAAACCAATCATAACCGTTTATCCGGACGGACGAGATTTAATGCAGATCGCCTCGAACCTGGCGCGAAAAGCGTTGATTGAAATCTCCTCATGATGACCTAGGGAACCCGAATCGACCACACGGGATGTCAGAGCAATTAATGGAAGAAAAAGGGAAGGGGGTTGCGTATGCCGACGTGAACTTAAATCGAAGTACGAACTAACACCTCGTACTCCATACTTATAAAACGAAGTAAGGGAAAGCCAACCCGTTTTATAAATAAGGAGTAGGGGGGGAGTAGTTGATACGGGCCAGTTTGACAAATAACGAATAAGCGTAAGCCCATTAGGATAAGCCCAGTATGATAGGCCCACGATAAAGAGCCCATGATGACTTAGCTCGAAGTTATGGGCGAGGTCGCTGTATTGTGCAAACCTCGGGAACTATATGGGAATACCTTAACTCGCCAGCCCAATACCAAAACGAGGTAGGGCGAGCCCAAGGCAATACAGGCCCAAGATATGTGACTTGAGGGTAAAGAGAAACCCTAAAGAGGGAAAGCCTTGGAGGCCAAGTTTTCTCCATCTATAAATAGAATGATCATCACACATACACACACACAAGAATACACATTAATTACTGTTACATTGCATACACATTTTTCTATTCCGATCGCTGACTTGATCGTCGGAGCTTTCCCGCCGGGAACCCCTCCCGGCGTTGCAGGTACCTTCACCGGAGTACGGACCAAGTTGACTTGGAAAAGACGGAAGCCCCACGGACGAAATCAGGTATCTATTGTTCAAACTGCAGTATCAAACAATGCATGAAGAAAAAATTGTCTATTCAGCGTCCACTTAACCCTATTAGAGGACTACAGGGACTTTAAATGGTATCAAAATCTAATTAAAGGACCTTAATCAAAATGATAAACATTGTCTGTCCTTAAATGGTACCAAATGTTTTTGAAGGACCTCTAGCTCATAATCCAAGAACAACAAAAAAAGCACATTTTGAATGTTAATATTATTATATATTCAAATAATATATTTTAAACATATATGTTTTATACATATATTGTTTTTTTCTTATATGTATTGTTTAAAACATCCTGATAATTTGAAGATGAAATTTATATTATTATTATTATTATTATTCATTTTTATATAATTCGAATGGTTAAAATAATGGTACCTCTTTATTTTTAAAGGTAGTTTTTTGTAAAAACAATCCAAAATAAAAATGAGAAAAGGGAAATGATTTAAGAAAAAAAAAAATCAGAGTTCAGAATAAATATTCTCAATGTTTGAAATATAGTTTGTTTGTGTGAGTTTATTTACGAAAAGTGGTAGTATTCCCTCGGAACTTGTTCATCAAATTTTTCTGGATATGATAAACACAATATGAATGGAAACAGTCTGGAAATATATTCTTCACTCCTTTCAATATTTCGCTGTTCCTGTTTGACCCAAATGTCAATACGTTCTGTCCTAATGGCAGATTTCAGGTGTTCAAAAAAAATATGCCCAATTGCAATCAGTCTCCTCATTGACAACAGCAAAAACTAAAGAGAATAATGCTGAAAATAAAACTAAACATTAAAACATGAACCAACAAGTAGTAATATACAGTTAAGTAAACGAAATTGTGTTGATCACTTACCATTTTGACCATCCTTCCCGTCTGCAGCAAGCAAAATCCCTCTATATTTCCCCTTCAAGAACGTACCGTCTACGGTCAGAACTGACCGGCATGACTTAAAACCCATCAAACAAGCACCCACAGCAAAAAACATCGCCGAAACCTACTCGTTGCTTGATCAATGTTCAGATGATATACACTTTCAGGATTGGTCCTTTCAAGTTCGTCAAAGTAGGATGGCAGATACAAATACAAGGTTGTGTGATCACCGAAAATGTCTTCCTTAGAAGTCTGAATAGTTCTCCAACCAACATAGTAGCTGATATCAATACCAAAATGAAGCTTCGCATGGACAACCACATCGTTGGCCACCCACCCAGGCTTAGCTCTGACTTCACTCATCATCAACTCAGTAATTATATCAGACGTCAACCTCTTCTTACTAGACGTAGCAAATCCACAACCACACGTATGATGCTTGACATGTCTTTTAATATAAAAGAACTCATTCGCGTGCTCAATTGATGCATGTATCCTCCACATACAATCCTTCACATCCCTATCTTTACAAACTGTAGTGACCCTAACACGCTCGTTCTTCACATACCGGAATTCAAATTCCATCTCAATAGCATACAGACATAACGCCTTCCTAAAATCCTTCGCACCACCTTCAAACACTTGCCCAACATCTTTTATAAGATTTGCCCAATTAGCAGTCATTAGCTGCGGTGACCAGCTGTCACCAAACTACCGGATTAACACTGCAAACACCTTGATCGTATTCCGGTACATAATTATTTGGTAACACTGGAATCAACCCAACTAACCTCCGACGATCACCCACTCTCTGTTTTATAACTACATCAATCCGACTAATTCATAGTTCCCGCATAGAAGACAACATGAACAAAACATCATCATCGTCTCCCAACATACCCTCCCCAACACCGGGTATATTGTAAGACATAACCTCGTTGTTACGATGTAATCCATTAAACTTAGAGCTTACAAACCTAATTAACTCTTCAAAATTAAAATTTCCAACACAATTTTTAACCCCAAAAACACCATCAAATTTCAGGACCAGAGTCACACATAAAGACATATTCAGATTGCATTCTGCAACACATGAATCATGTCAAAATAACTACATACAACTACGCAATGGAATTCATCAGAGTGTAACCACATAAACGCGTACACAATGCATGAACGCCTTCAACACCTCAAACGAAAAACATATACAACTCGTACAAAACTATAACTATTCTTAAACATATATCTTACATATGGAGACAAATTGAAAATGAACTCTACAGACGTGAAATCCGATAAACACTACTACATATAACTACCCGTCGGAAAACACAAAGTCAGTGAAAACATCAACGCATGATTACTTCATGAACACATTTAATGACAAACAATCAAAAAACACGAGATCTACAAAAATTATAAACAATTTACAGATTATATAATTGTTCGTCGACAATTAATTCAGAGTGTTGAAATTTAAGCAACACTTACAGTGATGATAACGGCGTCTTCGAAAAATATGAATGATACAGAGAGCCACAAATTTCACCACAGATACTAAAACCAAAAGTTTCAAACAAAACGATATCTCAAGAAATCCTGACAAAACGAATTTTCCTGTTACGTCGCACATTTTCCGTCTTCACAGGGAATTATAACGCTCGTGTTATGTATACATGGCAACGTCCACGTTTAGAAAAGGACTATTAAGAGCATTTTAGGTACTTCATATATGCCGAGAAAGTATGTCAAAATATTTTCGAAATGAGGGGGTTACCCATAGAGTGGAATCCGCATGGTAGTTGGTTATATATAATTTGGAAATTAGGGATCTCTAAAATAATCCCTTCTTTAAATTATATTTGGAAAATTGCAATTTGACCTCTTTAAATTTATGTAACTTCAAAAATTCAATTTGGTCCCTTACTATGTATTTTACATATACAAGCGATGGGGTTTTTCTTTTTGCAAAAACCTCCCCAGGGTATTTTGTCCTTTTGCAACCGGTCAATGGAAAAAGGTAAATTGGTCGAGTATACTAGGGGGTATTTTCTAATTTATTTATGACATGGAGGAATCGCACAATTGCGATTTTCACAGAAGTACTAAATGCAATTCACTCGGTTTATTGCATTGGACACCTCCGTGTCTTCTCTAATTGTTAGAAAACTCTTTGTGTTATTTTATTAGGAAGAACTCCCCATATAATTATTTTTTTGTTTAGCAAAGTACCCCTAAAAACTCACTTAAAATTTGCATTATAAGGAAATTTTTGTTAATAATTATAACACGAGGAGTTCTTTAGCGATTCGATATAACACGTGCTTACTAAATCCAATAAACTCCAATACATGTAGATCGAGTGAGCTTATACGCGCGAAAGAGAGAGAAAAAAAAACCCTGAACCTAAATTAATAAAGATGAGCGATCTTGAACCTCCTCGTACACGAGCCTATACATAAATACATACATAAGCTGAGAAATCCCTATGTATATTCCACTCTCTGTATTCACAATCTTCTTCGAGACAACTACGAATATTTCATCTACCGTCAACGACGGAGATAGTAACATTATTCACAGAGCCACTACTCCTTTGACTCTGCTGAGAAGAAGTTGCCCTCGTATTCGAACTACCGTTCGAATTCAACGCAAAAAATGCAACTTGTTTAGGTTCCGGAAGCTCTGCTATTTCGCTCTTAAGCATTGAGAGCACACTCGAAACCGAAGGCCTATCTTTAGGCAGTTCTTGCACACACAGTAATCCTATTTGTATGCATCTCACCACTTCTGTACGATAACTTCGGCTCGATATTCTTACGTCTATCGATTCTCCTACATCGTCTTCACTCCACAGTTTCCACACCTTTTTTTCCGGAGAAAATAAATAAATAAATATACGACAACAACACATATAAAATTTAAGGTAGAGACATACATACATGTCCTAAGAGATTGGCAGAGGTTTCGTGATTGTAAAAGCTCGTGTTCCTTCTTCCGCAAACAATCTCTAACATCAACACCCCGAAGCTGAAAACATCAGATTTTTCGGAAAATTTCCCTTCGATTGCATATTCGGGAGCCATATATCCGCTGCAAGCTCCAATTAAATCATAAAGTTTTATATACACCGATAAAATAATATAAAATGGATCAAATATAATAATATGTGCGATCGCTTACTATGTTCCGACAACTCTTACAGTGCTGATATGATCTTGGTTGCTTCCGAAAATTCTCGCCATCCCGAAATCGGAAATCTTCGGATTCCAATCATTATCCAGCAATATGTTACTTGGCTTGAGGTCTCGATGGATTATCTTTAATCTCGAATCTCTGTGAAGGTAAAGAAGGCCTCGACAAATGCCTTCGATGATGTTTAAACGCTTTCTCCAATCGAGGATTTCTTGCGATTTATCTGAAATAAAAAAATAATATTGCATACATAAACAGAACAAGTGATGAGTTTCCTCAAATTTGTCGAACAAGAGATAGAAATTAAAGATGTTTGAAAACCGACCGAAGAGAAAGAAATCCAAGCTTTTATTAGGCATGTATTCGTATATAAGCATCTTTTCGTTATTCTCCACACAGCAACCCAATAGTCTAACGAGATTTCTGTGTTGGAGTTTAGAAATAAGCACTACTTCGTTCATGAATTCATCTATCCCTTGTCCCGATTCCTTAGAAAGCCTTTTTACCGCGATTTCTCTTCCGTTTGCCAGTTCTCCCTAATGTATATATCAGCACGAAATGTTACAATCGAAAATTAATACAAGCACGGAAGGAAGAAAAAAAACATTTACCTTGTAAACAATGCCGAAACCGCCCTTTCCAAGCTTGTTAGCATTGGAGAATCTGTCGGTTGCATCTACGAGTACATCAAATTTAAACAATGGTAATTCTTCAAGATTTAACCTACTTAACGTGTCTTGAAGAGACGAATCGAGTGATTCTGATGCTTCCGCTCTTCCGAGCACAATGGCTCTATTTTCGCCTAATTTGACAAAGAAAACATACGAATTAAGTAGCGCCGACAGCTGTAAATACTCATTTAATATTCGTAGAAACTGAAAGTGTAACCATATATATACCTCTTTTCTTAACTACCCTTTTCCACGAAAAATACATGCATATAGACAAAAGAGTTACGCCGATTACAACCAAAGCTATTACGATTTTCTTCAAGTCTTTCTTATGATCTGCATCAACAAATAAAAAAACAACCAAAGGAAGCTTAATAAAACCAGCACAATCTCTCAAAACCAAGGGGGGGAAAAAACACTAAGCATCTCTATCTAAATTACCAAGTTCAGAATTCGCGACACGAAAAAAAAGATCGGAACCCGATCCACTAGGGAATTTCTGAATGTCGAACAAGGTACTATTCCAAAACATACACCCGAGATCGGAATTATGAGCGTAAGCTATGCAAGAGCAGTTCATCAAGCACTGCTTCGGGCACTCGGTTTCGGGCACGAGCAATGGCTGCGCGTAACCGGAAATTTTAATCATCTCTATCTTCAAGAATCCATCTTCTTTCGTCCCGTTACGGCTACTAGTATTGTTATTATTAACTGCCAGGGGGGTAAACGCTTTTATCCGAGGACCGGCACTGCCTCTGGAGAACAACATGGTCCCATCTTCTT